TTTATGAATCCATTCACTTTTTAGGCATTTTATCTTCAAACATGTTATTTTGGCCCTTCAAAGTAATTTCTCTTCCAATCATCAAATGAAAACATTCAAACATCAATTGTTCTATTTCAAACAAAACCCAGCTCCAAAGTTTCAAAGTCTCTCAGCTCTAATAAATTTCCTTTTCCGGCCACTTTTTTCAGTAATTTCGTGAATTGTGAATTAGTGAAATGGAAAACATTTTGTCTAATTATACAATCTGAACGATGTCGATGCCTTGTTATTCGCATTACAGATTTTAGTGCTGCATCAGATGAACTGTATTCGAAATTTTTGAACGAGGTCATGAGATTATGAGAAATATCTGTTTTATTGATGAGTGCACATTTTTATTAAAAGGAATATATCAACAAATGACATTGTGCCAAGTGGAATACTGAATATCTGTGTATGGTACTACAGGATCATACCCAACATCCTCATAAATACATGTTTTTGTTGACGTCCTAGAAGATGAAGTTCTTGGACCTTCGTTTCATACTAAAAAATTCATAATTTTCTGATTTTCCCATAATCAAACCTTTTTCCTCAAAAGGTTTGATTATGGGAAATCCATTAAGCCCCTTACTTACCTAAGTAAGCCCCTTACATAAATTTTCATGGATAATCTAGAGAAGTCGATCTTCAAACATCCTTTGATTAAGAATTTCTTGTATTGGCATAGATATGTGGATGACGTTTTGGTATGTTTTGCAGGTACTAAGAGACAATTAGATGAATTGAAGGGGTTATATTTTTTTGGAGTGATTAATTTTTGGGAAAGAAATTTTTTGACTTTCTACTACTCCATCTTGATACAAAAAAAAAGGATGAGGGAATCTTCCAAAAAAAGGAAGGAAGTAACTATATACAAGGATGTGTAGATCATGCAAAGAAGTAACTTTCAGACACCAACTGAAAGAAAGTCCTCCTGAAACAGCTTCTTTCATATAAACATTGAATTACACGAAAGAAAAAATTCTTTCGAAACAAATACTTCTATATGAACACTGAATTATACAGAAGATAATTTTCTCTACTCAGTTTGTATTACAAACATTCGTTGTGAAATAAAAATCAGATATCATTCACATGTGTTCTACTCTGAATGAATAGTAACAGATTTCTTTGGAAGATTCCCTCATCTTTCTTTGTATCAAGATGGAGTGGTAGAAATTATAGAGCTTTAACGTATTTTGGACATCCAACGGAAAAAGTGGCTTCATTTTTGAAGAAACGAGATATTAAAATTGCATATAGAACAAGTAATACGGTGGGAAAGTTAGATAAAAATTTGAGAAATCAGGAGTATATAAATTAAAGTGTAGAACGTGTCCTAAGGTATATATTGGTCACACTGGCAGAACATTTAGGAATCGACTCCAGGAACATCATACGAGCTATGTGAATAAGAACAAAATTCAACATATTCAAATCATTTTATAGAAAAAAATGATATATTTAACGAAGAGTTCGAAATTTTGCACATAGAAAATAAAGGTTTGAAACTAAATCAGTTGGAAGCAATGGAAATTAATGAACTTGAAAATTCAAACATTCTAATGATTGACCAACTGGATTTGAATAGATCACCATTATTGAACTTGTGATCATATTTGAACAGTTACCTTAGGTAAAGGTTTAGGTAATTTTTTGGAGGTAGTCTCAATTATGGTTACCTTTAGTATATGAATATTAGTGTAAGAAACAACTTGAAGTATTCAAATCACTTGATGAAGTTGCTGCACAGTTTGGAATTCTTTGTACACTGTATACAATATAATACTCAAACAGGATTTGTCCGAAATGTAAGTTCTGTAGATTAGCTGGTTTTGTAAGCAATCCATTTATTAAAATTCCAGCCAGGAAATATGTTCCTCGCTTGTGTAGGCAATCGTTTTTCTGAATAAAATGCTCTGGCCACTTTTGCAAGCAGGTGAAAATGAAGAAGTTCATCTAATTGCGACTGGCGCTTGATCTTCACGAATTTGAACAATCAATATCTCTATTATCTTTTCATGAAAATCCATAAAAGTATGAATTTTTGAGTATGAAACGATTGTCCAACAACTTCTTGGACGTCAACCAAAACATATATTTATGAGGATGTTGGGTATGATCCTGTATACACAGATTTTCAGTATTCCACTAGGGACAATTTCATTTGTTGATATACCTATTCCTTTTGAAAAAAAATGTGCACTCATCAATGAAACAGATATTTCTCATAATCTCATGATCTCTTTCAAAATTTTTGAATACAATTCATCTAATGGAAAAATAAATTATACAAATACTTATTGGAGGCTAAAATCTGTATCCGTCTTCAGAATTGGTTCCAGTCACTTCGAAAATGTTTCGGAACGTGAGAGAAGATTTGAAACGAAATCTTCATTATTATTGTACGGGCACAAGTGAACTTGGGTTAGGTTAGGTTAGAAATATACAAAATACAGAAATACAGAAATATAATAGTAAATCTCGATGAAGTTGTCTCAAAAAATAAAGTAAAATTAACCCTCTACCCGGAACATCTCTAAGCCACCCTTTACACAGAACACCCGTCATAATGACCGCTATCGCTAAAAAAAGCGAAAAACATACATTCTAGAGATTCATTTTTTACATATTTGGCATTTTTTATCTCTTTACTGTTTCGGAAGGGTTGAAATGAAAATATAAGCGAATATAAGAAAAAAAATATTAATATTTTATTAACAATAGGAACAAACAATTATAAATAATTTGTATTGTCGGGCTTAAAACATTGTTTTTATTTAACTTAAACATAAGTAATACCTATTGTTTTTATTTTAATACGAGACTCAAAACAATAGGAATCAATTGACAAGATATNTTAAAAAAAAAAATACTATAATTTTTAGATTGTATCGATTTCTTTAAAATTGTTATTCACTTATATGTATAATTTATTAGTCTTTGACTAAATAAAGGATTTATATATAGACGTTTAGAATGATTCCAATACAATCTAATGATTTGAATTGAGGCTTTCGTTGAGTTTCTCAACACTAAAATGATTCAATGAAGTAAAAAATTTGAACATTTCAATAGAAACCGTTGGTAATATTCCACATAGATTTATTCCATTCAAGAAAATCTTGAACTTGAATTTTTTTGATAAATATCTCTATGAAACTATGCTGTAGAAAGTCCTCAATACTTCATAGAATCATTATTGCCAATTTATCATCATTATACAAATTAATGAAAAGAAAGAAAACATTTCATTAATGTCAAATTTTGTTTCACTCCAAACATAAAATTTAAAAAACTGATTCGTCTTCAACTATATTTTCTCAAGTCAAGCCACACATTTTCATCTCAGAGTTTATTGAAAAATAGTCCACTCAAAGTAAGTAGCTACATTTTAACGGAGATCAAATAATAACCAAACATGTGAAAAATGAATGTCGAAAAATACCACGCAATCAGTTTTCCACTTCTCCAGTTCCGACAATTCAGAGAAGGGTGACCTTACGATATATTGATGTTTTTCCCTTTAATGGTTTGCTTGTGAAGTAAATTGCATGGGACATTGAGAGTGGAAGTATCTAAACTTATATCTGTCGTGATGGGGTTGCGAGAACATTTTCCAACATTATCGAGCATATATGATAGTGTGGAAGATAATTCCATTCCGTTCCGAAATACACAAATTGCTTGTTCTCGGCATGTTTTCGACTGAACCACTTATATGCGGGTGTTATTCTTCTAAATTTGAGTTGCAGAAGTGTTCGATAGGACTTAGATCCGTACTATGCGGTGGCCACTCCATCTGAGAGATATATACAGGGCTATTCAGATTCGTTTCTGTACATGGGGATCTCGTAAACGATAAGAGATTGAGTGTCGGTTTAGTTGTGACAAAGTTGTGTATTTTAGAGACCTATTCAATGATGTATGTAGAAATCGAATATAGCTCTTTTGGTTCTGGAGATATACAGGAAAAACAAACAAGTCTCAAATTATTTTTTTGCCTATATCTTCGTCTATATATTCGCAGACATATTGAAAATCTGTCGACATTTTACTATTGGCACTTGATGTGGGCTCTCAGAATATATTTATACAGGGTGTCATCTGAGTTAGGCCACCCCCATCTTTGAATTTTTAAACACGGACCTGTATTTTTGTTGTAGTTTTTGAATCGTAGACGTTCACTTCATACTGAGAAATTAAATTCGATTGTATACTTCGGGATGTTTCGGTAATATTCGATTATAATTGTGTGAATTATTCCCTTTTAAATTACGGCCCTGGAAATTGGTTGACTGAGTTGAATAAAAACATAATAGCAACTTTCACGTCTCCCTATGTATCGTAGAGTTTTTCAAAAGAGTTTTTTTTTCATTTTTAGGTACCTATTCATATTTTTTCCATTGCTCTGAGCGTTTTCTACAATGAACTTCGAATAAGAAAACCTTTTATGATTATTTGGAACGGAATGGAATGTCAGATTATTTTTATAGGATATCGGATTTTCATAGGTATTTTAATCGTAAATATTAATCGGGTAACTTAGTTTCTCATTAATGAAACTGTTGACCAGAAGTTATGGTATACTGTCTAACTGTGAAAAATTCTCAAGTTGGGATATTTTCAACTTTTCATCAATTCAAGAAAACGAAGAAATAGTTATGTATCTGTTGAAACTACCATACAATTTGTATATTCGTATATTTAGAAAAAAAAAATCGATCAGCTAATCTTGTGATAAACGTTATCTGTTTCCTCTATGAATATTTTCACAGAAAATACATTTTCGCGATAATTATCATAATTTTTCAGTTTCATGATGATACACATTCACACATTGGTACAGAAGAAGTACAATATTTAAAAATTCATGTATCACTGATACATTTTTTATCTTCCTACCGAATCAATTTAATTGATTTATTTCATGAATGGAAATATTAATCCATTATAATACGTTTCAGACCACTCGATGAAACATAGAAGAATTACACAAAGAAAATGAGAGAAAACTGAAAAAATGTTGGCGTGCGTCTGCCAACCGACAGATCCAGGAATTTTCCGGCATTCTCCCATCCCACTTGGTGCGCCACCTCTCAAAATTCCGACCATAGGTGAAGTAGCTAGACCACCCGGTAGGAGCATTAGGATTACTACACCCATTGTTGAACCTCCAACTTTCCCAAAAGGCAAACAATTGACAGACAAGTGTACAGCTCCACCATGCTCCAAAAATAAAAATGACTCGAATCGCGAATTTCTGCTCGATATAGGAAGAAAAGATGTGGGACAAAGTAAAGGCAACGATATCCACAAGAGTGAAGGAACATCGAAACGACGAGAACTTTCGACCTCAAGTTCGAAATCTTCATCAAGTATCAGTTTTTCACCCGTGAAAAGAAAATGTGTAAAAAAGTGTAATGCGAATAAGACTGTTATACAACGCAAATTTGTAAAACAAGAAGGTGCTAACGTGACTGGTAGTTGTAGTAAATCGAGTGATACAGAAGAAAATTCAGGCCTTACAACGGAAATCTCGGACTGTGATAGGAAATCGAACGAGAAATCGGGTGATTTCGAGAAGGTATGAGGCATGTTAGATGTCGATGTTTCTTGTCAGACGCGCTGCGAAATAATTTCATTGGTGGTTAGAGAATGTAAATAGGTGTTTCACTTGTACTCGTGACTGATGAATCGGAAAGGTACTTGAGCTCTGCAACATTTGAAGGCATCACTATCTAGGTTTTTACCTCTGGTGGAATAGTTCTTGAAAAAATCTTTTTTAGGTTTCCATGGTCTAACTTTTCTTGATACAGATGATTGTGCAACTTAACTTCCTTCATAAATTGAACAAAAAATGTAACAATAATACTTCGTGCGAAAATAGAAGTTTTGATTTCTTTTCTTGATTTGAATGCATAAGTTATTTCATTTTTAATGACAATCTTCAGTGAAGAAGTTAGAGAAGTTAGATTAATTTGTTTTGTTTTCCTTATTTGCACATTTTTTCCAATAAAAAGAACAATACTAGATAAGCCATTTCTGTGTGACTGCATAAAAGACATTATATTGAAGTTGTTGTTGATGGTCATGACTCCTCAACTCTTGATATTCTATCAGGAGTACCAAAGGGTTCCATGTTGGGACCTTTATTGTACATCATTTATACTACTGACATTATCTCGTCCATCAAGAAATTTAAAATCTTTTCAACACTGATCAATGGGCTATCAAGTGAACATGATTTGAAAGTTAATCTCAATAAAACAATGATGATGCATTTTGGATCGCAGAAGAATCGTAAATTTGCAGAAAACAATTTCCATTCAGAACTAGGTCATACTATCTTGACTCCTGTCAATACAGCTAAAAACCTATACGTCATTGAAACTGTAACACTGTAATAGTTTTATATTGAGTCAACCTCTAAAAAAATGCAGTGTGATAGTTTTGTGCTAAGCCATTTCAACTACTGTGACTTCATATATGGGCCATACTTATATGATTCTGATAAAAAAAATACAAAAAGTGCAAAATTTCTGTTTGTCGCCTAATTTATAAACTTCGTAAGTATGACTCAATTTATGAAGCCTTTAAAAACTCCCGCTGGCTCAATATGAAAAACCGTATGATTCATCATTTGGGTTGTTTTGTTCATAAATTGATTACCCTTCCCCATTCTCCCCTTTTAATAGAAAAGCCAATTGTGCGGGAATATAGTCACTCAAGAAACATTAGACATAAAAACAAATTAACTATGCCACAACATCGCACTGCACAGTTTCATACTTATTGGCGCTGTAAAACTCTATAATTTATTGCCCGAGCAATTGAAGAGATTCAATGTCACGAAATTCAAATACAAATATAAAAATTATTTCTATGATAGTCAGTAATGTCAACTTTTGCTCATTGGACAAATTAATAAACAACAGAACAATTAAAATTAATTATTTATCAACTCTCTTCAGAGGGTAATCACAAATTATTATTTTTATTTATTTTTCTTATTTCGTAGTACTATCACTGTTAATTTTGCTATTGGATCATTCATTCATGTTGAAAAATGGGTCAGAACTGGTGTTGTTTCCATAAGAATACTCGTAAATTTGGCATTATAATTCATGAATCATCTCATATTATAAATTTTATGTAAAAATATATTAAAAAAGAAAGTAATAAAAATCATGGACTTATGAATCAACAAAAATTAATTGGCCTCCGAGGCGACTTCATTAATTACAGTGGTGCATTTGCTTTTTCAGCTGCAGAAAATCCCGGAAAAACCTGCAGCACCACATCAACTGAAAACTTTGATCTACTAAAATGCCCTCCTTTTCATAAAACAAAATGTAGAGTGTCTCCAGAATTTGAATGTTAGATCAACTGAGAGAGAAAATAAATTTCATGTTAGGAATACTGAAACGGATATCGAATTGTATGAAGTACTTTCAAGACAAACATTTGAAAGACATCCAGTTTTTATTTTTTTCTGGATACAAAATGGTTTTCTCAAATTTGATTCTTTTAACATTTTGTTGCTTCATTAATTGTTTTCATAAAGCCTTTAGTTGGTTGTATGTAATTAGATTTTTTGTTGAATTGAAATTTTAGGGTGTAATTTCTTCAATATCGAATAATGTTATCAAACTTAGTATTAAATAATTACAAAAATATTTGTGAATTCTTAGAAATGGACGTATTGCACGATCACGTGGAACGGAATTATGCAAATCACTCAGAATGTTATGAAAATCAGGTTTCTGAATTTAAAACTGTGATACATTTTCTCTGCATGTATTTTTAAGCTTCAGTTTTTTTTTCATCAGGGTATGACTGAATTTTCCTCGAAACCCCTGAAGTCAAAATTTGCATACATTATAATTTCTTGCAAATTTATGAAGCTGAAATTTTGAGACGAAAATAGGGATTTAAAGCTAATGATGAATCGCGGTTTTCACTACAATCTCAAACCTATTTAACACATTAATTCATGAACAAAACAAGTGCATTTGTTATCATACATCAATCGACAGAGTAGGATCATAATTCTACGTCGAGCTTAAGCTTCTGAAACGAGCTGATAATATGAAACCAAAACCCAAAACCATTGCATTCTCAATAAACCGCATTCTTTCAAAAACGATTTATATCAAATCAATACAGGTTTACCTCACCACATTCAGTGAATGCTGCAGAGAGACAGAAGCGATTTTTTTTCACGTTTGAGCAACATGTAACTATATTCTATTGTTACCAGCTTTTTCTATAAATTTTTGAATTCACTTTTTTAATGAGCTTGACCTTCATCAAAACACTATTCGTTGACCATTTCCATGGTATAGTTCGAGTAAACGATATAGTGCAACCTACTTTCCAACAGCTCCCATTTAACAATATTGTTAGGGAGCTACTAATTTTGTTATTTAATAATCATTTCTTCTTATATAAGAATCACAATAACTAAGTCACATCATTTTCCATGAGAGCGACTGTAGAAGAAATGTTGATTCTTGTGCATTAACAGAACATGTTAATTCGGAGGATCATGAAATGAATTTTGAAAACCCAAATATTTTAGATAGAGAAACCGATACAACTAAAAGAATATTTTTGGAAATGATACATAATAATAACGAAGAACATTCAATGAATAAACGAACTGATATTGATAGTCTCAGCAAAATTTACACATACCTACTGAAATATGATAAAGAAAATAAAAGATCTAGTACGTCGAGTATCAAAGAGTTTTCTTTGTAACAGCCCAGCTATTGTTAATCCAGTCACTCTATATATATATATATATATATATATATATATAGGAAATTTGCCGCTGTTCTTGTCCATATTTAGTTATTCGTTCTAAGTATTTGTTACGCAATTCCATTATTCTTCTGCTTTTGATAACTGCTTGACTTTTGTTTATTATTCTAAATCTAGATCCTAGTTTCTTTATCCAATTCTGAAGAGTTTTGTCACAACAGCTCACGTTATGGCCGGAAGTTTTCAATTTCTTCCTTATGATTTCAGAGGTAGGAATCTCATTGCTTTTGTAACAGTCATATATTGTATTTTCCAATAATTTTATTTGATGAACATCTAACGTTTTTGGTAATCCCGTATCACATACAGTTGAGAAATGAATTTCAGTCAAATCTGATTTTGCTTGTAATAGTTTGTTTCCCTCGAAACCAAACTTGAGATGTAGATTATGTTATACATTGAAACATACTCTCTGTGTTTCAATATTCAAATGCATCTGAATCTTATTCACTGGTATCTCTTTTTCGCATTATTCACCATCGCTATTGGAATCACTACACAGGAAAAAGTCTGCGTTGTTATCACACTCGTTATTACTACTAGTACTTGTCCAAGGACGCCACATTTCAAACAGGTAACAAAAATTTTGAGTAATTATAACTGCACCATTATCGGATTTCAACACTCAAATCGCGATCAGTTCCTGAACTGAACATTGATGATACAACGGCGATACTCATCCCCACATTCTATTCCTCACCGTAACATAACTTCAAATTTAATTTTATGACTCTTCAGCCAATCATAAAACTCGGTCAGTAAAAATTATCCAATACGAACCGCCAATTGTTCAGTCCACGTGGACTAGTTGGCAGCGGCATCATTTCTCTGTATTGTTTTTTTTGGTCTTTGAAATGCCGGTAGCTTTAACTATTCACAATACAGGTTACTTCGACTATAATCTGATGAAATTCTGAGATTGATCAGAAAATGCTTGGAAACGTTTTATCGATACTTCAATGATATATTGTTATAAAATTATAGTTCAGTCTTTCAGAAATCCGTGTATTGGTATATAAAGGAGGAACGCATGGGATAAATTATACGTCATTGCATATTCACTATCAGTGTTGACAAATTAAATTCCTCTGAAGTTCCATCGTACATAGTCGGTTTTTTCAGTGGTATTGTAGATGAATGTTTGTATTGTGTTTCAAGTCTTTCTCGATCGATGAAAGGTGGCCTGGCGATATAAAATCAATTTTACGGTTATGCGTTTGGTAGTCGAGAGCTTGTGTAAATATTTGTTATTATTCTTGAGGCCAGTGGAAATTTCATTTCGTCAGTGCTATCCATTTGATTCTTCGTTCTGGAAAAACAATAGAAGATTAATATTATGAAAATTTTCATGGTTATCCACTTTCGGAGAAAAATATGACGGAGAACTTTATAAATGTGTTGAAAAGGCGAAAATTTCAGCTCACTTCGAAACGACACCCAGAAGAAGGTCGATAAAAAACGCTATTGGAGAGGTACTGTTGTTAAAGTTTACGCTTCGTAAAATATTGAATTGTTTGTTCAAATTAATAGGAACTTCCCATTTTGCTGCCTAAAAAATGCGTTTTCGAACACCTTTGAAGGTCATTTTAGAATTCAGGGCGTTTTAGAAGGTATCATTAACGATGATATAAAGTGATAAAAATCATGATTCCAGAATATCAGATAAAAATATGTGTCAAAAATGATTTCGGATATAAATGCAAAGAAACCCTTTTTCGATATTTGAATCATATATTGTTATATAAATTACAGTTATAT